AGGTTATCAATCCTTTAGAACAGTGAACTATATCTTTAATTGTAAAGGTTGAAAAGTTAGTTAAGTCATTAAGAAAATAATAGTAAATCAATCCGAAAGTCAATAAAGGAATAAACAGCTTTATTCCTAATTACAAATAATGACAAAAATGCATAAATAAGGTGGCAAAATAAGTCATTATTATTTTTATCAAGACTATTGTCATGAAATCGCTCAACAGCCGGTACTGTGGCCAGAAGAGTGCTATTGTACAAAATTTACTTTTAATAAGACAAAGCCCTTGAAAGCTTTGTGAATAAAGTCCAAAACTAAAACTAGAGAAGAGCTCTTAATCTGTTCTGCTGATAAAAATTCCATATGAAATAAGTTTCTTCTGTGCGTTGTTGAAATTGGACAGCCACAAAGAATATGCATAGTAGTTTCCTCGTCTTCAAGCCGTAATATGCATTCCGAATTTAGCAGATAATCGAAGTTTATGAAGACGATATTTCAGACCATGAGTCCTTAGGTAGTAAGAAAATCTCTACTATTTATAAATTACAAATTTAAATTACCTTTTTTTCAAGAGGTTTTTCGAAAAGTAGTGAACTACAACAACAAAAATTCTTTTTTATATTATTTTAATTAAATGAATTTTTGGCTCATCAGTGGTCTTGAAAATAGTTCTTGTATTTAATTATTGATAAATAACTTTTTTGTTGTAATTATTTTGTTTTAAAAATTAGTATTTTAAATGGTACACTTTTTACTATTAAAATAATTTTCTACTAATTTCAGGTTAAAAATGTTTAAAACTTGGCAGCTATAATTTTTGGAGAAACCAAATTTAAAATTTTCATCAAATCACATTGACGCTTATCAAAATTCCTACTGAAATTAACTATAAAAAATACTAAAAATATAAACAATTTGCACAAAGTTGAAAATATATTAAGTTAATGAATAAAAAGCGTTGAGAAATTTATTTAATAAAAAATATAAAAAAAATGCTGCAAAATTTTTCAAAAATTAAAATTTTACAAAACATTTTGAAAAATTTGAAATTTTTACAACGACTACGACAACAACATCTAAACTAATTACAACAATGTAAAGCATTAAATAAATACTTTTAGCTTGAAAAGGATTTTTTAAAAACTGAAATCCTAAAGCATTTAAATTAAATTTACACAAGAAAGGAAAACAGTTATTAAAACTAAGACAAATAATAAAAAACAAATAAATTGAATGAAATTTTAAAACATTATCGCAAATGGACAAGTTCTGAGAGTGCTGAAAATAAATTAAAATTTTCGTAAAGAATAAAAATATAAAATTAAAAATAAATTAACATTTAAGCATATAATAAAAATAAACTATTGACATTCGTTGAAAAAAAAAATTACACAATAAAAAAACCAAAAAATACAAAATAAATAATAAATATTAACAAAAAAAGAAATACAGTAAAATATATATTAGCTTAAATAAGCACGATTTCAATTACAATATAAACACTAATACATCCACATCCACACCCATACACACGTACACCGTTAAGGTTATACCAACACACTCATACAATAACAAATGGACTGAAAGGACTTTATTATAAAAACTCTGCATTTTTACACATTATATGAAAGCATTTTGCACACTGGCTCCATTGTAAGCAGCGGTGGTGGACGATTATTAACAGTTTTCAGTGACACACATTAGCACATGTAAATAAAATCAGAACAAGTAAAAGCAACAACAAAAACATAAACAAAAACAATAATCATAATTAAAATAATATATAACAACAAATTTACGATTGCGTTTATGTGCATAACAACAACAACAACAACGCAGGCAGACATACAAACAACAAAAAGAAAAGAGAAATTGATTTTACTTAATAGTTAATAGCATAAAAAAGCCAACAACAAAAAGAGCGCACATATTCACTTTGGTAATGTAAATGTTTTCTATAACAAAAATTATAATAACAACAATAACAACAACAACAACAACAACTATAATCATAACTAGCAAAAGAAGAAGAACTACATTAAAATACATTTAAACACATTTAAAAACCAATAAAGGCAAAAAAAACATCAAAAGTAATAATAAAAACAACAACAACAAAGGCAACAATAACTATATTAATCAATATCAAATAAAAAAAAAGAGACCCAAAAAATTAGAATCAACAGAACTGATATATAACAAAAGGGACATTATAAAAAAAAATTTAATTGTTCCGGAACGACGTCACAATGGAGCGTAAATATTTTGGCGTTGTTACGCTCTGCCTCATCGCCTTCATACTAAAACTCCATATATTCAGCGTACTGGGTGATCAGGAGGAGGATATACCACATAATGAGTAAGTCAATTTTATTGTGATATTCATAATATATATAGTACAAGCGCCCGTTTGTGTTTATTTGGTAAATCTAACTAATTATTATATAGTAGTATATATAACAGTGAAATTTCAGTTGAATAATTACTCATTCCAACAAATATCACACTAAAGACTGAATTAGTTGTGCCGTAAGAAATCAACTAATCGGTTCTATTTTTTGAAAAGCAATAGATTTGTTCCACGAACTACTCGTAGTAACTTTGAGTAACACTGTGTAAATGAGAGCATCTAAGAGAGCGTAACATTTCTGTCGAAATTTGAAAATGTGTTACACAGACTTTACTCGTACATTTTATTTCAAGTATAATTTGTGTGATCTGTGAATCAGCTGTTTTGGTTTGAATTTAAATTTTTGTGTTGTTTATTTGCGCAGCACAAAGCTATTCCATGAAAATCTGTGTAAAAAGCGTAATTTGGCACTTTATTTGTGTTACGCTCTTAGTTTATACTTTACTTGCGTTTTATTTGAGTTTTACTATGAGTAGAACTTTACTGTATAGTATAAATAAAAAATCATCTTTTCTAGAATACTGCCATAGAAATTTCAAAGCAATATTTGATTAATTTTTAAAATTTTGTAATAAAAATACATGGTTTGCTTTTAAAATGCGTGGAAAGTGGATTCGGCGAATTTCAACTTTTAGGAATGATCATACTTAACAGAACCTTATAAATACATAGCCTTTGGTATGCATATAATCTGCGATCCTAAAACCTTAATAATTTCAAATTATAAAAACTTATATCTTAAATACGAAAACGAACACTAGCTGCCAGGGCTTTCAGTTTCAAATTTATTTATATTTACTATATTACAGGTTTTAATATATGTATTTATATATCAAATGTCTGTTTTTTACAGTAATTGTATGTATGTATGTATGTATGTATGTATGTATGTATGTATGTATGCATGTATGTATGTATGTATGTATGTGTGTATGTTGATCCTTTTTTCGAGCAACTAGTCACTTTTACTCTTTGATAGCTGGGGGTACTACAGGGTGCCACCCATATCATTGACTAATTTATGTATTGCCTATAAGCTTCATGATTATTAAGTGATTGATCTAAGATCTGCGTACCTCCCCGTGCGGAGAGTGATTACTCTAAGATTATATAGTGGTAAGTAGGATAGCCTGTCAATTTTCGCATATAACTTCAGGGCTCTGTCCCTTATGTATTTTTTGATCAGGTCTATTCTAAGGTCTCTTAGGTTGGTAGGTCAGATATTTGAAAATATATTATTTCAACATGATCTACAGATGATGGGCTGTTACAAAATAGTCTCTCAAATCGACACTCAAAAGGTACTCTTGAAAAAAGTTAATACAAAAAACATACAAAAAATTTTTTTGTTTACTTATAGAAAATAAAAATACTTAAAGATCTAATAAAGTTGCAAAAAGACGATAATTGGAAAATGCATAGAAGACTATAGAAGACTATACGAAAATTTCGCAATAAAGTGTAAATTGCAATCATGATCATTTTGGCGCACAATAGATCTTTTAGGTCTAGGATGCTTATAGAAAAAAAACATTATGGAAGTGTATGAAAGCAAAAAATTATATGACTTAATACCGAATGTAGTATACGAAAACCTGGGGATGAGCTATTTGTCAGAGATTGGTTTGTAAAACTTCAACAAAATACAGAGTAGTTATATGGCACAACTGTTTTACAAGCAAGCAAGATTGGGTAAAAATCCATTCACACACTTTCTAAAGACTTTAGATTACATTAATTAAAAAGTTTTTTTACCTAAATAGTCTTACATAATAACACATTGTTTGACTGAGAATACGCATAAACCTAATAATTCCACAACGAATCCATATATCCTTAAAAGCAAGCAAAGCCGCTGCACACCATTTAAGATGTCTCCGGTATTAGGGAATTTTAAGAAATAATTATATTTGAAAGTAACTAGAAAGTTCAACCAGCCCCTCAAAGCTGGTAGACCTAAATATTTTAAGTTGAGTTTTCGAGCTGGGCATTAACAAAGCAGATGTTCTAAAGTGTTTTCAACATCTGATTCCGTTCATTTTCTACATGTGCTATTTTTATTATTAACCTTATGTCTTGCATTGCAACCAGCCTGTGATCGATTAAAACATTGACTAGCGTTCGGCAGTTCTCACAATTATACGCTAAAGCTTCCTTCAGATACTACGTTCTATATTGAACTTTATAATGTGGTAGGAATGACGACTTTTTCAACTTGATTTAGATTTTGTTAAAATGATACTAAATCATTCTGACATACAACTAGGAATATAGATCTGTCACCACATAAGTGCCACTAACGTTATTAAATTTCTAAATAAAAATGCACATTGAATTTTATTTTAATAGTTCATTTATTTAAAAACACTGCCTTAAAAATGGACGGAATGATGAAAGTTTTAGTGCTGACAAACCAAAATGACCTACTAAAGACAGTTTTCATGTCATACAAATCAATTATTTACTATTAAATTCTAAATTGCAAAATTGTGAATTTTCATACAATATTATATTACATGAAATTTATATAATTGAATTTACATAACTTTAAATTTTTTTATAAATATAAATATGTAATAGGTGTTGTTGTTGTTTGTTGCAGCCTGTTGTTATTAATTCGATTTATGGTCAATTCTATTTTTTTCCAACTCCCTTTCATAAGATTCTGCGTGATACTTAATTCCGTTTAAATTTTTATACCTTTTCTTGCAACCACGAATGGGACAAGGAAATGGCTTTAATTTCGAGTGATCTGCTCTTAGAACCGAGTTTTGGACAATCTCATCCGGAGTCAAACCACTCAAGGCAATATGAGTAGTATCGTTAAATTTTGGAGGAGGTGATGTAGAGGTTGGTTGTGTTGAAGCATCATTTGTCTTTGCCATGGATGGCACAGCATTAAAGTTAATAGATGACATCCTCTTCGTTAGAGAAGACATTTTAGAACTATTATTTTTTTCCTTAACCTTTGATGATGACGATGGTATGTCATCGTCATTTGGTAATTCAACATCACGATTACCACCTAGTCCCATTGACTGCATTCGCGCTTTGGGAATTGCACCGTGCTTTGCTTGTATAACAACAGACTTAGACGGTGGAACACAATTATTGCTTTTTGTGGAAACCATTGGTACCTGAAATGGTGAAATTGCACTACTATTAACAATAGTAGGTGTTAACACGAACTGCAATGACGGACCAGCACCATTACTTCCAATTGCATTCAACAACTGAAATTGACGTATATAATTACTTTGATTAACAGAAATACCAACATTATCAGTAGCCAACGCAGACTGCAATGAGGAGGCAGCACCAATTCCATTCATCATCTGAATTGCACGTCCACAATTAATGTTTTTTAGTGCAGCCACTGGTGGGCGGAGACGTGGTCCACGGTTGATGCGATGAACCGGAGGACCTATTGATTAAATCAGAAAAATTTGTGAATTTCGAAAAGTAATACACTTACGCATCATCACGTCATGGATATTGTTAGGCAATATTTTGCTCAAGGGCACCATCATTTCACTTTTAGAGACTTCCTCATTTTCATTAATTACAACATGAACACGTTCTACATGCTGAATCAATTCAGCCAGACTACCGAACTTTTCACCACAACCGCTGTATTGACATTTGTTGTTAAAAAAGAAAGCCATTGTTTCTATATATAAAATCTGAAAGGTTTTTTTATCAATATTAGAATTAATTCACTTTTAACCGACGCTTTCGATTTTATTTAGATTCGCGCGAAAGAATCACTAACAACGAATGGTGTAATTGTTAAAGTGAAGACGAAGGAACGATTTATATTGGAACGCTGAAAGTTGCGCAAATCGTGACGAAGGGAGTTGCCACATCCGAAATATTACTAAATGTAATTAAAAAAGTATACAAAATATTATTCTTAATAAATAAAGAATTTGTTGATCAAACTACATTAACTTGAGCATGATGCATTTTCGACTGTTTCTAGATATCAAAAAAAAAAACCAAAGATTGAAAATTATATTACCTATATAGATAAGTACCGCAGTAATTAATATCAATTTAATTACTTTATGGAATATATTATTCATTTCATCGTGCATCATATAAAGCCTTTTAAATGCAATGATTAAGCTTCTACTAAGAATATTCAGACCAAACTCACTCTCCATAACAGGGTTTACGGAGAAATGAGATGCTGAATAATTCTAAACTTATTTTTTACAGGTCTGGAACAGGTCTGATAACCATTTGTCCTATCACCAGTAGTAAAAGGGACACTAGTGAAGCTATTAATACTATTTTTAACAAGGCGCTTATCAAAAGAATAATGGATTAGACATGACAATTTTGTGCATTATTCATCCATAGTTAAGATAAGAATAAGAAATATGTCGAAAAATGTGTTTTTCTCTAAAAGTAATATCCAATTCTGTATGGCATTCATAACCTAAATAACTTATTCAAATGGACGTTTTTATTATCAAAATTTCTACAAGTGTTTGTTGGTACATATAATGTTGACGCACAGAGAACTTTTAGTTCCATAGTCATACCATTTGAGAGTCCTTTAAAGTAAATAGGGAAAGTTCACTATGTATACCATTTAAGATATCTGTGTTATTGACAAGTTGTAAATTAGATGTTGCATGCTTTGTTGATGTCTATTACTAAGTATCTTCTGTATTTTTCACTACTAGCCGTTTTTTTTTTAAATAATCATCAAGTTTTCGTTTACTGTTAGGAAATGCTTTTGCGTGGTACAGTCCACAGTATTCAGGAAACGTAAATGTTTCTTATACCCGACTCAAAACAATAGATGTCAGCTCCAGCTAGTAATGTAACGAGGAGCATAACCATGGTCTACAGGACGAGTGAATTCAACATATAATATGTAATTGTATATTTAATGGAATACTACAAACCTATAGTACCTTGATCTTCAATTATGTTTGCGATTCTACTGGCTTCAGTCTCTTTACGTATTTTAGATCTATCTACTATATTCTAAATAGTTTTTATGTTAATTATTTTCTTACCTATCCGATTATCTGCAAAAAGTATTTGTTAGTTCCGTTTCGTTATTTAACATTGAGCTATGACTAATTTTTCTAAACAATTCTAGAGAGAAAGCTACTCTACTTTATATTTTAAACAAATTGAGTGATTTATTATTGAAAATTGAAACTTTCAACTATAAAATAACTTCAACAGAATGCATTAAAGTGATTGCTATACAATGAATATGTAACACTACACATGAATGGCCCTAGTGAATTAAAATGATATTATATATAAAGTCGCTTCTCTTCAATCCAATGAAGTATTTATTGCACAAGCCAGTCCATATATATAAGTTATTTAATTCTAACTTGATTTTTTAATAAAATTACCACATTTCGGTCTATATCAAAATATATCCCAATATTAGTGAAGTGAAACTATCTTCACTCATTTCTTACATTTCTTTACTTTCTATTAACTTATTGTTTTAATGACCGAAATATTTTTTAAAATAATTTTGTTTTTTACGGTTTAATTGGTCAACAGTTAAATAATAAACTTTTTAAAAATATTTATTTGTTTTTAAAAGATTTCACTTCTACCGATATTTTGACTATAATCTGTAGTCATCATCATCTATATTCATCATCATCTATAACCATTTCTATTTATATTTTGAAAGCGAAAGCGTGCAATGACACGTACAAAACATAATATATGTAACTTTCTGTAAGCTAACAGCACCAAAAAAAAACAAGACAAGACGAATAGGAATAACTGTAGAAAAGCAACATTAAGTATGAGCAAAAGTGCTGGTAAGACAAAATGGATAAAAATAATTTTAAAAAACCATTACTAAAATTAAGCAAAAGTGCTGGAAAACATCTACTAAAGTAGCCACAATAATTTGTTAAAAAAAGAAAAAACTAATGCTTAAATTAATTTATGAAACTATTTAATATAATCTCCAGAAATCAACAAACTTGACGTTAAGCTTGAAAATTTTTACAGAAAGATGCTTAATTTTTGAATTTTTTTTAAAAAAATCTATACTTATGTAAATGATTTCATAACTCCGCCGCAAAATTCTAACTTCATATGTCATTTTATTTTACAAAATTATAAACTTTTGTATTTTCTCTGCTTTCTATGTTGGAAATATGTGGCCTTAGTTGACTTAGTTAGTGACAACGCAGGATCTCATATGCAAAAACGTTAAAATGAAATGGCAGAGCAGCTTAAATATTTGGTGTGGAATAAAGCCAACTCTTGTCTGTTTGTTGCAGTGTATGTTGGCTTTTTAACTAGAAAAACACATACATACACACATACAGCGACATATGCATCGAAACGAGGGCGCATATGATACTATGCACGCACATTTTTGCATATATTTTATTATTATACTTCACACATTCCCAAACACACAAAAAAAACATTCATATAGAACATTTTGTATGCTTTTTTCGGAGCATTTTGTGTTGTTGGTCTTTCTCTCCTTTGACATTTGCCAAGCAGCACTAAAGCCTTTCCACACTTTACACTGTCACAAATATTTTGTGTTTTGTTACGTCTTTAATGGTTTCATAATACGATTTTGTGCAGGGCCTGGCGTTACATAAACTTATTTGCACAGACGTCCTTTCCGTGCTAGTGCCCTCATACATTTGCTCCTAATTAACCTCAGAGTAAGTCACAAATTCTGCACACGACATGTCACAATATTAGCAACACTGTTATCCCAACACTGGGTTTTTCCCTGTTTTTCCTTGGGTTGAATTATAACTATTGTTATTTATTACTTTTAGAAAAAATTAAGTTTCATTGGTTCACAAATGTAATTATCAAATATAATGATAATTAAAAAATAAAATTATTCCAATTTTCATTGATTAAGAAGAAAGAGTGGTAATCGCTATTTCCTTATAGGAGTATATCACTTAAGCTGAAGAGATCAACAGATCTTAGGCAAATAACCGCACTTGTTTAATGTTTGAGCTAATGGATCTAAAATTGCTAATGGAAGAGTATTAGATGCAGAAGTTATTTGAAAAGCATGTTCTGTGGCTAGAAGTACCCTCTCATGAGTAGAGTAAAAATTGTAAGACTGCGAAGGAAAAAGAAATTGTTGAAAACTTCTTCCGTGGCTGCCCAGCTGTCAGTTTCACTTTTATTTATGAATCGATGGATAGGTTCTGTATTAGGTTCCGTATTAAAAAGTAGTTTCACAACGGACTAATAGTGGCTAAGTTAAATAGCCAACTATGCTGAGTGCTACGACAACCAAACCTGTTCTACCACTTGAACAACTGAATTGACGACACTTTTTTCTTCGTTTTTAATTTTTATTAAAACCATTAATGGTAACATTTATTTTATTAACTTCCTAGTTCCTACAATCCATTGATCATTTTAGCAATTACGGAGATATTTTTTAAAAATGTTTTCACGTTTTGGCTTTTTTAATTACAATTTAATAAAGTTTAATAAGGAAGTTTAAATTCTACGTTGGGTTAAATTTTGATATTTTTGAAAAATGAGCGATTATTTTTGCGGAAAACCCTATGTAACTCATAACTGACATTTTTCTGAATTTGGTTCTGGTACATCAATTACATCAATTAGCTCATTAACTGATAAACATTTTCTTCTTAGAATTTTCCACTATCAGGCATCGTAATACTGTTATCATCCATTGTCTGTTATCATCCATCAACCGCCTACAAAGTTTTTCAACGAAATCACACAAACTTATTGACTGATACTAATATTTCATATAAGTTTCAAGCCTTTATCAGACAAACACTATTAAAAAGAATCCATACATAATATCTGATCGCATCAGTTTTTATTCAGTTTGTAAATACAAATGCTCACTGAATTTTATTTAAAAAATCTATTTATTTACCATATATACATTACTTTCAAAAAATGAAGGAAAAATTACTTAACTGAACATAGCTTCAGTTGAACAATGTTACAATATCTTATTATATATATAATATGTTATATAATAACGCAAACGTAAGTCAACTAAAAAAACATTTTTACATGTTCCATTTTTTCTTCGAGATCTCTCCAAGGTGTGGTTGTTTGTTGCATGCCGTAGTTATTAATCCGATTTATACTCAACCGAATTTTTTTCAACTCCCTTTCATAAGATTTTGAGTGATACTTAATCCCGTTCAAACTTTTATACCTTTTCTTGCAACCACGAATGGGACAAGGAAATGGCTTTAATTGCGAGTGATCCGCCCTTAGAACCGAGTTTTGGACAATGTCTTCCGGGGTCAAACCACTTAAGGCAATATGGGTACTTTCGTTAAGTTTTGGAGGAGATGATATAGAGGTTGGTTGTGTTGGAACATCATTTGACTTTGGCATAGATGGCTCAACATTACGGTTAATAGATGAGATTCTCTTCTTTGAGAATGAGATTTTAGAACTGTTACTTTTTCGCTTTACCGCCGATGATGATGATGGAATATTATCCTTCTTAAATGATTCAGCATCACGATTACCACCTAGTCCCATTGACTGTATCCGCGCTTTGGGAATTGCACCGTGCTTTGCTTGTGCAACGACAGACTGATACGGTGGTACGCAATTGTTGCTGTTTGTGAAAGCCATTGGTACCCGAAATGGTGAATTTGCACTACTGTTAACAATAACAGGTGCTAACACGGACTGCAATGACGAAGCAGCACCATTACCAACATTATCAGTAGCCAACGCAGACTGCAATGAAGAAGCACCACCAATTTCATTCATCATCTGAATTGGACGTTCACAATTAATGTTGTTTAGTGGAGATACTGATGGTTGATGACGTGATCCATAACTAATGCGATGAACCGGAGGACCTATTGATCAAATCACACAAAAATATAAATACTCTAAATACAGTACACTTACGCATCATCACGTCATTGATATTGTTAGGCAATACTTTATGGACACGCTCTATATGCTGAATCAATTTAGTCAGACTACCGAACTTTTCACCACAACCGCTGTAGTGACATTTGTTGTTAAAAAATAAATCCATTGTTTCTATATATAAAATCTGAACTGTTTTATTAATTAATATTAAAATTAACTGACATATATTCGCGTTTAGTTGAAGCTGTGGATTTTTTTAACTTCGCTTAGTCGAAACAATAAGAACGAATGGTAGAATTGTCAAAATTAAGACGAAGGAACGATTTATATTGGAACATTGATAGTTGCCATGGCAACAACGTTAACTGTACCTTAAGAAATGCAGTACACCAAAAAGGAATGCTTCAATCGTTAAAATTACGACGAAGGAACGATGCAGAGAACTCAGACTTACAGAGTTGCCATAAGGAAGTGTTTTCTAATTAAAATTTTTATTAATGAATTGAGACCGTTTAACACTTTATTAGTTTTTATCGTCTGGTGTTTGTCACCGCCTTAGATCTGTGCGCAATACACTTTCACAGCAAAATCCGGTGTGTTTACATTTTTCCTCAGTTGCAGATTAGTCTAAAGTGTCAATTTAAATAGATAGAATAGACTTAATGAAAATAATCGGAAGAATTTTCTTTCTATTAACCTACACAATAGGGATATAGTGAATTATATATTAAGTTATGATTTATTATTTATTTATTATTTTTAAATTCCGCACAAAATAATATACATAAATATATTATATTAATTAATTATTTTATATTCAAAGACATTATTGGGGAATAAGTTAGTAATAATACTTATGTTGATAACTATAATATTATCAACAATAATAACTTTAATAGGTAATATTATTTACATAATTGTAATAGGCACAATAAGAAATTACAGTTTTTATATTTAATTTTAATTTTTATTAATTTTTAAAGAAAAAGACTCTGCAGATACGTAATTGAACACTTTAAGTCCTGGAGTCGGATAATGCAGTTACAGTTATTACCTACTTTAGCAACGTTTCCATTTCGATTAGTCTGTAGGCTAGAATCGAAAATAAAAGTTAGCATGACTTTCTCAGTATAACATTCCTAGATTAGATTCTATACATAGAAAAGAATATATAAATCATGCAGCAAACAATGCCTCTACAAACAGAATAGTATTGAAATTAAACAATTCAAAATAAAAATATAATTAATTAATTCAGTTATTCTATAGCTGGTTTATGATTTTGTTCTGATATAAAGACAGTAAGTAAATTTGTTAATAAAATATTCACAGCAAAGTAACAGAATTCCAGAAAAATGTGCGAACATAAAAGTCAAGTACGGATTTGGATCATTTGATTAAGGAGCGTTTACTCTGAGCTGCAAATTTGGCAGGGCACGAGTTCGATTCCTGATATTGCAGTGTCTTAAAAAATTATTTATGAATAATGATACACAGGAATTATTTCCAAGACCACTGATAATGAATATTTGGCAATACTCGAAACAGCTATATGCTCAGCGCAAAATTAAATTAATTAAAATAATATAAATAAAATTGTTTGTTGTTGTAGTTCACTACTTTTCAAAATCTCTTTATAAACATTTTTAAGAAATAAGCAGGAACAAAAAATTGTCTAAACTCTTATTTAAGTATGTATAAATCTTTCTAATATTTTGTTTAATTCTCTTAATCTTTATTAATATCTTGTTTTCAAAAATAAAAGTTATTCTTGAGTTTTACATTTCTAAGCTAAAAATAACAGTTATTTGTGCGTTTTAAAATAAAAAGTTTTGAGTTATTTGAGTTTGAGAGTTATTTGAGCGTGAAAAAATAAAAGGTACATGATAATAATTATTATTTCTGAAAAATGGAATATAAATCAAATATAATTATTATTTTTTGAGTTTTATTTAAAAATGCAAATAATAAGAGTTATTAATTGGTTTTTATTTTTTCAATGATAATTGTTACGGTCCCAGTTTTCAGCCATTACTCTATATGTTTTTGTATATGTTATCTGCAAATATTTTGCCAGATCAGCAAATGTTAAACGAGGTACAAATATACCGATCAATTGAGTTCAATTGAACATCTTTACCATTTTTCAAATATCCACATCATTTCAATAATTATATAAGTATAGTTGTGGTACATGATAGTGGAAAGGTATTAGGAAGTCACTCTATACGTTGAGTTATATTATTTAATTTTAATGTTTTTGGTTTATTTGACTTCATTTATTATTTTTAGTGATTAGATTATATCTATAGTCTGAGAACACACGTCTCTAGTCAAATTCGCCAAGTGATTGTGATCTGCATGGTGGTAGCATAACATAGACACCCGTTTTTATACGTTCGTTTTCATTATAAAATCTTTAATATTAATGATGAATACATCCCGGCTAAACAGCTAAAGATTATAATGCTTGGTTAGAATTTACTAAGATGGAACGTAGTCTAACAATGTTTTTCTTTCGCTCAATAAGCGTTTTCAGTTTTTCGGACTTAACATAAAAATGTTAAAATTTGTGTAATTTAAATATATATAATATAAATCTAATGTTGAGCCTTTTCTGGGTTAGTGGATCTGGGCACTTTTACTCTTTGAAAGCTGGGGGGTTTCTGCAGAGTCACACCCATCTCACTGACTTATTTGTGTATACGTCATAAGCTTTGTGATTATTCAATAACTGATCTAAGATCTGCGTATCGCCTCGTCTGGCTAGTGATTACTCTGAAATTAGATAGTCATAAGTAGGGCAGCCGTTTGGTTTTCGCATATAGCTTCAGGGCTTCGACCTTTATGTATTTTTTGACCGGATCTATCCTGAGGTCTCTTAGCATGTCATTCGTGCGCATGTATCACTGCACTTTGAAGACTCTTCGGAGAGCCTGGCTTCTGGATAGTAGAGTCGGCAACTTTGCTTATAATGAGTTTTACTTGATTGGTTTTTTATGAGACTGAAGCTACGTTGGCATAACTGCACAATGTGGGAATTAGTTGGTGATGGAAAAAACATTAAAATTAAAGTGAATATTTTGTGAATTAATGTTTAAATATCAAGTTTTTAAATTTTGAAAATCAAAGTGGTTCAAACGAAAGATATTTTTAACTAAAAAAATTTATTTTTTAATGATAATTTTTTCTTGCCAAGAGTGACACGAAAAGAAACTATTTTAAAGTTAGACGGAGTCGAATAGCAAAGAAAAAATAAAGACGAAAATTTTATTTAATTTATTGAAATTTGGCTGACTTTACAACGCTGTTTCGAGTATTGCCAATGACTCATAATCAGTAGTCTTAGGAAATATTCGAATTTCTTAATTAGTTTATAGTCAATATATACATTTATTTTTGATTAAGAGAATTTCTAGATTGTTTACCTAACAGTTTTGTATACTGCCTAGAAACACCACTGTTGGCTTAATTTCCAGCTTATATTTTTTTAACTGCAAGTGTCTGTTATTAAATTCTGTTAAAATACTTTATACAAAATAAAAAATTTCCGAAACTTTTTGATCCTACTTCGTATAATAAGTTTTACGTACTGCCTGATTTTCAAAAAACCATAAAATTTTAAATTATTTTATTAAATTCTTTGTTTGCTAATAATTTATAACTTATAATTCGCAATTACTTCAATATATTAAATTAATTCTCTCTGGGTAGAAAAATAGACGACGTAACAAAATGACAGGTATCACAAAATAAGGTACTCGTACATGGCATATGTTACAGTTCCCCAACTAATTTAGTGATACTACAGCTTTCCAATAAATATATTGTTGTTGTTGTTGCCTCGACCCCTTTTTTGTCCGCATATACAAAAATTTTAAATATTAAACTTTTCCTTCATTTTCTTTTTAAATTGCTCTCAACTTTTTTATTTAATCAGGCAGGACGACTACAGACACGCGCTGCTTGTTGTCGTCGTCACGTTTGCTCCAACAACGGAAACAAATTAAAAATCTTAAATAACCTGGCCCAAAAAAATATGGGAATGAAGGTTTTTTGTATTATTTTGTATTATTTCTTTAAAGAGTATCCCAAATTCTAGTTATATTATAAGTATTTCACCCATTCTATGGCGAAGCCATAGTTAAGCGCACTACTGGAACGGGCTGTGGTGGTGACTTGCAATGAGCATGACAAAGTTGAGGAAAGAAAAAGTAGTTTAAAAGTATTGAGGTCAGCAAAACCGATAAGGATAATAAAAATAAAAATCAAGTGGAAGCGAAAAATAATATCAAAAAATCAAAACAAGAAAAAAAATTATAAAATTAAACAAATAATATATAAAATCTGTAAAGTTCTTTTTATATTAGATAAATATGAAAAATACTTTTCTTTGCCTTGATTTTTTATTTCATAAGTAACATTTTTTTTGTAGAATTTTTAATATCTTTTTTCTATAGCACATATAGTACAAAATGTTGAATATACCATAAGTAGATACATAGAAATCGATATTTTACTCCTATCTGGGATTTGTATGTATATTTAACACAATCGACAATAGTTTAATAATACATATATAACAATTTTTATTGTTAAATAAGAATGGTTGAGAGTTATATAATAGTTACTCTAGAACATGGCTGGGTCCAGACCTAATGCGATCGCGGGCCATTACCAATCACTGTACAGATTCAGTGGCGGAGCTAGACCAACTCTGCACGTCGGCGACATCAGAATTCCGAGGCCCCCTTTATAACCCAGTTGTAAAAGTAAATAAGTTACAATTACTAATACGACAAAGTATGATTGAAAGTTTTATTGCTAATCAATTTAAAATAAACACAAATTAAAATAAATGAATTTTCCTACTTTTAGTATCACCCTATTTTTTTTTAAATTATATCATAATGAAAATAGTCTCTCTTGGACCATCATATTTTTCTAGTACGTCTTAAACAATTTTAACTTTGCTTCTTTCTTTTTTCGAAGCTATACTGACTGGAACTGTGAACATGAATCTGATTACTATATAAACATTAGGGAATACTTCGAATATAGTTAATGCCATTATCAAACCAAATTGCTCAAAATATTTATTAAGTGCTTAGAATCCACAGTCAGTAACTTTTTGCGAGGTCCCTGCGGGCGCGAGGCAGTCGGCGGTCGCCGACAAATACATACGTTCATAGTAGTTTTTTAAACGAAAATAAAAATACGGTTATTATGTCAAATTTAGTTTTATTAATTTAAATTCATTTATTTGGTGTACCATTAAAATAAAATAATGTACTTTTACCAGTACACCAAAAGAAAATGATCGTAATTGTAGTAGATTGAAAACATCTCGAGGACCGCACAAACACTAACCACGGGTCGTGCTTTGGATAACCCTGCTCTAAAAGAACTAAGTTCATGTAATTGTTAAGCGTACCTAAATAAGTGGGTTACTGTAATATCATGTTCATAAATATCATGTTCCTAAATATCATGTTTCCTTTGTAGCTAAAACTATCTATGTTAATGAAATTAACATTTGATCGTTTCCATTGCATGATAAATAGTTCATTGGTTTACCTTTTTACATATAAAACTAATGACAAATAATTTACATTTTAATAACTTCCCTTGTGGAAAATTTATTTTTAAAGGTTGCATTCAACATTTTTCGACTTAAATTAGTTGATTTATTTATAATGAGTTAATTTATATGAAAGCTCTTTGTATGGTAAATTATTCTTATATAAGCTACCTTAAAAAGCAAAACTGCCTAAAGGAGACAGTAAAAATATGGTATAAGACCATTTGAAATTATTCAAAAATTATCTTTTAGTAAATGTATGGACAAAACTGTTTCTGTTTATCACACTCACTATGTTGCGAAAAAAAAAAAAATTAATCGGTCATCTGCTATTATACTTTTCGAATAACACATGGGCTCTTCTTTTCCTTGTTCAAAAAAATTCTTCTCATCATCCAAATCTTCAGCTCATCCATTGGAACTGCTAATTGGTTGTTGCAATTATATTTTGACTCTTAAAATAGCGAATAGGTTTCTAGATAACAAAATTGGGGTAGTAGCAAGCAAATATGTACATATTCGTTTAAAATTTTATAAGAGTAGTACAAACAGAAATCTGAAGATGGAATGGTTAGCCTCAAAGTCTGTAGTTTAGAAAAAAAATGAAGTGTAACAATTATTATACCATTCATTATAGTATTAAGATAATATAATCTCATTTCATACTAATAGAGAGAGTATTTTTTATTGTAATTAGACCAGATCAGATCAGATTAGATCAGCTTAATGATATTGTTTATTGATTTTGTCACCATTTTTTGCTGGTTTATGAAATAAATTTATTTTTTCTCCCGGAAAAATTATATTTAATCCGATTTTAAATAAAAATTTTTTTTTTCTTGATTTAGCTTTTAACAAAATCAGCTTTTAGTTAAGCTATAATAATGATTATTCGTAGTTGTTACGTAGTCCTTGATATGTATATGATTCTTATGTTAGTGTGACAATTATTTTATTATCGGAAAATAAATATACATTACTTCGAATATCAATTTTAATATATGGTTTATCATTATTATTGCTATTATTAGACGTAGTAGTGGTACACTGTTGGCAGTGAGAACCATTTTATTAGTGTGCTTAGGAGAGATTTTTTAAGTGAACGCGGACCAGCTTAAGATATTGTGAAATCGAACATTACTTCCTTGTTTAAAATCTCAGACCTTTTTCGAGTCAGGTACTGGATCTGTATTCTGGCAAACGCTTAGCACATGTATATATTTCCGTTAACTTTTTTTTCAGATGTCTTGTTAAATATAATATAGTTCATATGAATCTTTTTAATATTTATAATTAAAGAGTTTATGAATTGCAGATAATTTTTATAATAAGTATACGAATATGAATGCATATTTATATATACACGCAAATATGTTTCAAAAATTTAAAAATATATTTTTATTGAATTATGAGGCATTTAACATGTAATATCTTTTTCTAGAGTCTATGTCAACAAAATTAATTTATTATAGACAAAATTAATTTTGTTATATTCAATATTGCTTTTTTTGTTTTCTTGTACAAAAGGACATCCTTCTAAATTTGGATCAATATGCCGGAATTTTCACCAAAATATTAGCCACTTCTCATATTGTACATTTGTGGATTTTATATATTGAAGGATTTCATTTTTAAAGGCTTACCGTACTCCAGATTCAGTTCATTCTGTCAATTTTCTTTTTATAATCCTTGTGTTTGTCGTTATCCTTCATTATTTATATCAACATATACTAAAGCAAATAATACTTCTTGGTGCTGGTTACTGTGTCGTTTATTATTAATATACTGCATTGTCAGAGAATCTTCTGGCCGGTGGTTCTAGTAGTATTTTTTTGCTCTACTATAAGTAGAGGACATCAATTGTTACAGATCCTATACAACCCGATGCAGTTTATTTCATAGTTTGTTAGTTCAATTATTATGTTAATAATTATTCTCTTAAATTTGTCTTAAAATACTGTAGTATTAATAAAACTTCTGGACCCTGGTCAAAATGTGGTTTTCTTCTTTTTTTTTCCTGTGCTTAAGGAAATTTTTAATGACGGAGTACCATACAATTAGATTCGTAGTTTGTTAATCCAATTCTTCTAGTCGTCGTTATTCTGCTTGCAATGCATTATCACTCCGTCATGTTAGTACCACTTCTAGGCAATGGTCTCTTTGTCTGTGTTTTGTTATACTGTTAGCTGCTGTTTGGTGATATCTGCAGCAAAATCCACAATTTTAATATTCCAATCAGTGGGATTTTATCATAGTTTTGTCACTGATTGGTATAGCGCCTGTGCAGATAAAATGCACTGGAATTTACCATCGGCGACGCTGCCAATGGTTCAACTTTAATAATGAAAAATAATAAAGTAAATTAAAATACAATGATCTAAAATGAAATAAAATAACATAATATAAAATAGAATTAAATAAAAAAAAAAAATAAAATAAATCAAGTGAATTAAAATATAATATATGTATCAACGATCATAATTAACATTAAGATTACCCGTAAATTATTAAAAACCAATATATCGGCATCACCTCCACCCCTTTCCATCCTACGTCGCCTATGGTGTTGCAAAAGCATCTGAAGTTCATGCAGATTAGCTAGTGGATTTTGTACAGGCTCAGGCTCTGGTTCCGCTTCTGGTTGTCGCACTTCATTTTGATTATTAATCCGTACAACATCGCGAAACCGACGTAACATCATTACAATTTGCTGAAGCATCGGGATGTATAATATTGGACCATATCTTCTCTGTAAGCGATAAAAAAACAAAAATTTCACGTATAAGCTCTAAATTATTGATCATCCAAAAATTACCTGTACAATTAGTATTAAAAATTTGACGACTACTACAATAACCAGCACCAAAAAGTGCTTTGCTAGTATAGTTTTATTAACAGAACCTGAATGCTGGTGAGAAAAAAACACTGGAAAAAATTTGAATTTAATATAATCAGATGACGTTATTTTTAATTTATACATACGTCCATTAAAACTTGGAAAAGGATAGTACGGACACATAAAGATTAAAAGTGCAGTTAACATCGTAAACATTTTAGAATTTGTTTTCCACAAAAATGTCGAGGTAAAGCCAATAACTATTCGAATTTGCTTGACAAAATATCCGTTTCCGTTTACGAAAAAAGAAAAATATTCTGTAAAATATGAAAATTAAAAATTGAGTTGATATATTTTTAAAAGAATGTGTTGCTTTGTTAAATTTTTATATTTTTCAAGAAAGTTAAATTGAAACAATTTGAAACAAAAATGTGTGTAATTATTTCCTCACCTACTGTGTTTAAAGGGAAGTAAAGGGAAGTAGTCATAATTGTTGAACTTCGGAAATTATTTTAATATACTAAAAGATCATTGGTCTAATTTGGACAAAAAACGCACTAGTTAGCTATTTCAACTAAGGTGGAACCTGCTCAGGACCACAGTATCTGTGCTAGCGGGACACTGCGAAATAAGAAGATATGCTATAAGACTGAGTCTACCCGATAATGACTTTTGTCGCGGTTGTAGCTCGCAGAATGACAAAGAGACCGTGCTCTATCTTATGTGTCAGTGCCCTTCTTTGGGTAATTGACGATAAAAAATTTTCGGGGACTCTTTTCTTACTGACTTGACTGAGTTGTCATCCTGTAATATTAGGGACTTAGGACATGGAACTGTCAACTTGGTTTTCCTTTAAGTTATAGGGAAGTCGTTATTTTTTTCGACGTTGGTTTCTGTTAGTCTATGTATGTACCAACGCTACTTCTGTGGTATCACAATGTGACATTATTTGAGCTCAATTGAACTTTTGGATACAAGGCAGCCACTCCTACCTACCTACTTAAAATATCATACTAAAATATCAATTTGCATTTGCTGTTTTGCAACCCATGTTTGAGAGCAAATATGTGGCCTCTAATATTTTTCAATAACCATGAGAGGATGTGCCATACAAAAATGAAGAGATTTAAGGGAATCTGCATCGAATATCCATCTCTCTTCTTATTCGTATGACTTGAAATAGCATTACGACATCTGCTGTAGTTATCATTCATTATAGTAAAGTATCACATTCTTTTATGAATATAGCAAAAAGTTTCAATAGTTGAGGATTTGAGAGGTAAAACCATATGACATTGATCAGCTAAGAATAAGGGACTTTATGAAATATTTAATATATTATATAATGAGTTGTCGTTAATGCTCAAGAGTCAGCCATATCCTTTTTAGAGATAAGCTAGGTTTTACAAGTAGTTAGCCTTGGAAGTTACATACAATAACCCTGTTGAAATATACAATTATGAACTTTATCCGGACGTGCGGTTTTCTAATTACTGAAGCTTAAAATGGTTAACCTGGACAACTTATAGCTAGTAAAAAATCTAATAATATCTCTTAATTCCAGAACACAGACCTTGAGGATTTCCAATTATTGCACTTCACACTAGCAAATTTGGAAAATTTTAGACTATAGGAAATCCTTAAAATATTTTTCGCTATCAAAAAACACTGATTTTATTCTTTTCCATAATTGAAGATACTTTATTCGTTTTTTGTTAATAGCAGAATATGAAGTGGCAAGATAGGCAAAAGATTTATTTTTATGTTTAACACAATCAGCAGATGTCTGTGTTCTTTAGTTCTAATATATTTATGAAAGGTAATAGATAAGAAATCACTAATTAATTCAGATCTAGTTACACTAGTTAGGTGCTTAATTAGTTAGGTGCTAACGTTTTTTAGGATTTCACAATTTTGCATTTAACAAAACCAACAGATGTCGGTGTCCTTTAGGTTTACTATAAAGAAGAAAGGCGATAGTTAATGATCGCCTTAAGACAAAATTCAGATCCATTTGTCTTAATGTTTATTTTGTACTTGAATGAACTCCATGGATTGCGTTAGGACTTAAGAATTGGTTTGAATCTTTTGAAAGCGCTTATATTCAATCATTTTAAATACTGATGAAATTTTACAAATGGAAGATTGTGTGCATACAGGGTTGCAAGTTCAGATTTTACAAAGGCAGCTAGTATATCCTTTTTATATTTATGTTAAAAAAATTAGAATAAAGGAGTTGAAAAAATTGAATAAATAAAATAATAAAAAAACATAAAAAAATATAAAAAATAAGAAGAAGAATAAAATAGTTACACTAAAATACAAAAAAAAAAATAAAATTAAATTAAAAAATGGAAAAAAATAACAAAAAATTAAAAAAAAACAACGAAGAAAGTAGTAAATAATAATAAAAAAAGAACAGAAAAATAACAAGAAAACAAAAACACAAAATAAAAAAAGAAAAAAAAAACAAAACAAAATGAATAAAAAAAAAACCAAAAAACAGTAAGAAACACGAAATAATAAAAACAGAAATAAGGCAAAAAAAAAAATTTAAAAAAAGATAGAGAATAAAAATATAATTAAAAAAGGTGACAAAAGAAAAATAAAAGAAGATAATAACAAAAAAAAAAAGAAAAAATAGGGACTAAAAATAAAAAAATACTAACAAAAGTAACAGAAAAAAAAGAAAAAATATTTACAAAAAAATACAATGAATAAAATAAAAAAACACAATAATTAAACAAAAAAATAAAAATAAGATAAAAAAGATAAAACAAAAACAACTCTGAGCTTCAAATTTACAAATAATTAAATATAAGAAATAGTTCCCAGACCCCTGATGATGGGTATTTGGCAATACTCGAAACTGCTGTATGATCTGCCAAATATTCAATTGTATAATTAAAATAATATAAAAATAATTTTTGTTGTTGTAGTTCACTACTTTTTGAAACATTTCTATTAAATACCAAAGTTTCTATTAAAGTAATAGTCACTACTGACTAAAAGTTTCTATAAAAAAAATCAAATAAATAAATAAATATAATAAAATTAAAAAATAAAAAAAAAAATATGAAAAAAATAACATCAACAATATAAAAAAGAAAGAAAAAAGTAAAAAAGAAAACAATGAAAGAAATTAAAAAAATGACTTTTTTATATATTTTTAATATGGCTGTAGGTCCCTTCTTGTTAAATAATTAAACCTTTAATATTTTAATAAGCAGGTCGAAATGTAAATTTAATGAAAAAAATTTAATTTATGATAAAATTAAAAAAATATTTTCATTTATTTAAATGAGGTATAGTTTCAGTGTAGTTGTGTGTTTATACGAGTATACTACTCTCCGGCGCTTAAGGAAGTTATGATTTTTGTCATTTTTAAAGATATAGACGCCATTTATGTGGGTCAGTAAAATTAATCACAGTTTATTGTGTGCTTCAGTGACTTATGCTTGAATGCGGTAATTATTAAAATGTGTAAAATTAAAAGTCCTTTTCTTCCTTCCCTTCACTATTTTCCACAACTAACAAAATTCTCAACTAACAAAATAATTCAAATTTTTTCGGCTTGATTTGATATGCCCACACGTAATTAAGTCTAAAAATATTTCCACATTCTATAATTTAAACATTTTCTAAATGACTGCTATTAAAAGAGCAATAACAACGACGAAAACAATAAAAACAACAAAAGCAACAATAACAACAACAACAACAGATTAAAGTTGGAGTTTATTTTCGGTTCTCAAAGTTTTGTATTCGCATGAGAATCTCAAAAAGAATTTCAGTCAAATCCACTCAAAGCCAATGAATTTATTGACGTAAAGAGTTGAATGTTGAATGTTAACTGTCGGAAGGTACATGTGTAAGCGTAGGTAAGCATGTGTTCACCGCATATGTACATGTGTGTCGGCATGTGTAGTTGTGTAGTGCTTTGCATCCAAAAGTGTACTTATATTAGGTGGGCAAGGAGTATCAACACAACATAGGTTATTACCCAATATTTACATAAACTAGCAAAATAAAAAAAAAATTATATACATATGTAATGGTAAAAATAGTAAAATTGAAATTTTGCCATGATGAACGTTGGTAGCTGCGTTGAGAGTGCGAGTTACAGTAGTAGTTGGCTACACACACATGCATAATTTGCTGTATGCATGTGAGCTTCTAGTTCTGCATGATTATTTTGAAAGCGGGGTTGATGGATATTTGCTTTAGCTACTGTGGGTGTACTAATTGGTTTGTTTATGTTTGTTTTCATTTTTTTTTGTTTTTTGTTTTTTTTTGTTTTATTAATTTATTGTTTTGTGTGAGTTGCTTTTGTGCTTTTTGGTGGCGTTGCTCACGTGGAACTTTAAAATCGTCCCAATCAACGATTTAGCTTATATAAAGCGTTTTCATTTGGATGGAAGTAAGTAACCAAAATGTGAAAAGATTAAGTATGTTAGCAGTATATGTGGGTTTGCATATTTGTGTGTCAAAACGTGTGTATGTATGCGTGTGTACATGAAATTCAACCCTGCATGCAATTTTTGTGAAAATTCTTTGGCATTTGATTGAAAGTACATAAAATAGATTTCTGTAGTGTAAGAATTTTTCAAGATGAATTTATTGAATTTAATTTAATAAAAATTTAACACAAATTATTGGATTTGACTGAAAATATCAATTATTTATAATCGGTTTAATGAACTGACCAACAAAGTACTAAGATGAAAGAAAATATTGAATATATTTTCAACGTAAAAGAATTCCTACAAAATTCTAAATATTTCTATAACTTAAGAAATTGATTGATATGAAATTTCTATAAAATATAATTAAACAATTATGTAATATATTAAATAATTAAAAAATATTAAAATTTCAAAAAAAAAAAAAAATTAAAAACATTTTTAATAGGAAATAATTAAATTAATAGGAAATAATTTAGAAATACTTATATTACTTTTTAGATGGTTTCAAAACATTTAATGATTTTTTCCGATTACACATTTAAGCAATTCACATATATAGTAATATCATATTTAATAAAAATGGAGTGGCCGAAGTGATAACTGGTCACTGCCTACTGAATAAGCATTAGGTGCGGTTAAGACTTTCAACAACCGCTGAATATAAACAATTTATGGATGACACAAAAACACTCTTACCTATCCTTGTGGAATATTGCACTCTTTTACAATAGTTAGTTGTGGTGAAGTGAGGAACGAATCCTCCTCAACTAGCTAAGAAAGCGGTTTTGAAATGAACCATTTTCGTAATAATGGGCGGAATGCCATAGCTGTAAGCTTTATATATATAATATAATTGTTATATATTTCTATGTAATACAACAAATTTAAAAAGTAATAAAACTAATACTACTACTACTACTAACATATTAGGTAGAATAAATACTACTAATAGGTAGAAAAGATAAGGTCAAGTTAAAACCAGCCAGAGGCATTTATTAGTCTGTTCAATGCTAATGCTGGAGATATCGCCGAGTGTGTTAAAGAAAGGGGTCCCCAGGAACTTAAGCCTAGTTCTGACCATGCCTGAACATAGACACAGCAAGTGTTCTGATATCCTCTCTTTGAGAGCAGGTTAGGCCAAGACTAGCTCCATGCCGGCCTATGCAACTAGTGCCCTGTAAAGACAAATATTAATCTAGATACCTCTGATTTGCTTCTGTGTATTAATTCAGAGATTCTACATTTGGAATAGATTGGCCATGTAGCCATTGACCTGATTGCTGAGGCGGTCACAATTTGCATTCGGAAAAATGCTCATGAATTAATCTCTCACTGTAGCTGACAAGAGCAGAGATTTAAATAGGGGTATCAGCGCGCTCATTTCCTACTACATTAGAATATTCATATTAGTATAGAATAACAATACTCTTATACAATATTTGATAAGAATTTTCCATAAGAAATTGATCCACCAAACAGAGTAGTAAAACTAGAAAAAATAAATTTTCTGAATACAGCCGAAGTGAAACAAATCGTTTAGTCATTAAGGATAGGTTTGTCAGGTTAGGCTCATCATCACGGTGAGTACCATCAGCGCTCATATTGGAATTCTAAGAAAATTCTTCAGTACCAATTAAAACCATACATTTGATTATAGTTTTCTCCTTTGGAAGAAGTGAGATTCTTTTAACACAATTGCTGCTGTTTAGGTTACAGCATCCGGTTGTAAAATGCAACTCCACATCGAATGAAACTAAATAAATACAGTCATTCTAATCGTCTAACTTTGGGTTTTAACTAACTACAGCCACCACGATACTGCCATTAGAATTGCCAACCCCGTGAAACGTCAAAACATCAGAGTATGGAAGTCACCAGATGACGAGAGAAAATAACACTGTAAGAAAAGCAAAATTTAGATAATGATACTAGTTTTATTTGATTCAAAGTAAATCGTTTACAGTGAATGCGTACCAGACGGTCGAATAATAGTACCGCAGATAATTGCGACAAATTCGATTAGATAGTCAGAGAGATGGCTTTGTTGTACGATAACATTTCATTTCACACAAACATTATAGTACTTTAGTGTTAAGAAAAAGGTTAAGAAAAAGGTTATTGCTGTTAAAAATCGCCTATCTTTTTCAGCTGATTTCGATCAGATGAATTAAAATTATTTTAATTTATTCGAACGTCTCTTATCTTAAAGAGTTGGACTGATTAAAACCAAGTACCACCGATGACTATAAAAAATATTTCAAAAAATTCATTAAACGTTTTACACCGCTATGTTAGAAAGGAAAGGAAATGACTTTGAATGTTAAAGAATAATAATATAATATATTATAAATTTTTTTTATTAGGTGAGAGACAATATGTACTCAAGAAGGCTACAAATAAATTTAGATAGGTTAGTAATAATGATGACTTAATTATTTATGAAGTGAGTATTTCTAGAACTCATACTCCCTCCTATATTAGTATGTTTTCTTGTATGCTTTCACATATTTTTATAAGTGTGAAGTCGCGTCGTCTATATATACCTAGAGGGCTGAGTGAGTCAATCAGATTCATTTAAAAAATTTTTGAACTACTTCATGGATTTCTCTAATATTTTAAAGCGCATATTCCAGTACGTTTTTATTCTGGAAATTCTGGTTTGTTTATAAAGTTAGTATTTCTAGAATTCCTACTCTATGCTCATTTAATATCATGCATACTTTTTGATTTATACTCCGAATTTTCGTAAGTGTACAGCAGAGGCGTTCATATTTAGATAAGTGATTAAGTTATTACATTTCTGAGTTTATCTTCTAGTTAGATAGAGGGACTGTTAATATTTCAATACGACTTTCTTCCAGAAGATCTACTATTATTGGGTGTTATTTTAAACGTCGCCCGACTGATGATAAATTGAATACATTATTGTTATTGTTATAACTATTTCTGTGAATTACTAAACTAATGGAATTTCAAGATCCATTGTGCTCTTTGAGTGATTCTCTGAGTTCAAGTTCTTTACTATATTCTTGTGTAAATTATAATTTACTGAGTGTTACTTCGTTATTGTATGTAATCTGTTTACACTTATTCTATATATATTGAAAATGTTAAAATATGTTAAATACGTTGCTAAGTGATGTACTCGTGTATTACTTTCATTATTTTTCGCAATAAATTTGTACTGGAGGCATTAATTTTAAGACTATACAATCTCACAATGTGTGCATAGGCATATCACCAAATTCTAAAAGTTCTTCCAATTAAATTTTAAAAATAACTAAAATCCTATTAGCAAGCTAAAGTAGCACTTATAACCTACACGTGGCCCTTATTCTCAGGGTATAGAACCTTTTCAAATGTGTACCGGGATATGGTTAGATACATACATATGTGTGTATTAGTTCAGCGGTAAGCGTGCGTATTTTCAACCTTATTTTCGTAAAGACTTCCAGACTTATTTGCAAATCGTTTTAGGCTTTTGTTTAAAATCGCGCCTACTAAATCTTCCCACCTTTCACCACCCAGGAAAACAAAAAAAGACGTAAGCTGATGCTACTTGCTTTAGGGCTGTTGATGTTGTTGGTGCTTGTGCTGTTAGCTCATATTGTTGTTGCTGTTGTTGGTGGTGGTGGTGTGTGTTAACCACGCAAAAATAGGTTTTTATATTGGGGTGGAGTAGGATTTTGTGCGGGTTTCACTTAATTTTCCCCTCCACTGCCATTTTTACAAAACTCATTCATACAAATTCATGTTTGCATCTACCGCACTTTTGTAAGAATTTTTATACAAATTCAGTTTACACATGGTTTAATATATTTATGCACATTTGTGTTAATGTATACGTGTATATATGTCACATATTATAATCTTCATCATATAAAAAAATTTTTTTTTTAATTTAATTTCGCTTTATTGTTCATCACAGACATGAATAAGTCTTGAAGGCAGCTTAGTGAAGTGACTGGTAAATGCATTTCAGCACGCTTCACTTAATACTGAAATGTTTGTATTTTCAAATGGTTTAATCCCTGATTGCACAGTTAATTATTGTATTAAAAAAAAACAAAAAAAAATTAAATAATTATGTTAAATTATTTTTTATAAAGAGTTTTTATGGTACTTAAGTTTAGATGTAAGAAATTGAAGATAAATTAGAATAGAAACTGTCTTTAAGCGATAACATTTCATGACAGCGAAATTAAACTGTGTAGTGTATAGTGTACTGTGCAATATGATTATTACTGTACACTACGCGAATGACAGTACACTAAATAAAGTCAAAAGCATATCAAAATGTAAAATTTTTAGTATTTGCGTTCACGTAGTCAAGAACTAAAATTAAAATCAGCCTTCAGGCAAATCAAAAACAATTTAATATTAAAATAAAAATAAAACAAAGAGGTTTCTTTATTCAAGCTCTGAATTAATAAATAAAGTTCTCATATACACAACTGGACATATTGCACTGTTCTTGACATATGGAATATAGTTATGAGTTACTAGTTAACTTAAATATGAAAATCCTGAAATAATCAATAACGCTTAGGTTAATAAGCAAGCCTCTATGTAATGCAAGATCTAGATATATCATTCATAAGTCACTCTTTTACAAGTGAAAAACACTTTGACAAGAATTAACTTCATCACCACCAATTGGGTTAAAATTTTTCTTCATTTTTAAAATTAAATACCTATACTTCGGAAAAAAATTTTATAATTTTCTCTAAAGATAATCCCTAAAAAATTTTTAAATGGCCATGTCTCAGACTTCGTAAATGATAAAGACTTATAATTTCTTGCGTTATAAATATGATATATTGAACATTTTAGAAGTAGTTTAAACGATTCAAATTGATTATATTTAGACACTAATATAAACAGTTAATTTACAAAGATTTACTTAACAAAATATACACCTATGATTTTTATTAATTTTATTTTTTATTAATCATGAAATTATGTGCGCTTATAAAGGACTCCCAGATACCATTTCTATTAAAATTTAGAATACCTATGTACTTGCGTGACAGGTTGCTATGTACTTGCAACCTGTGATTGGTTGCAATTCTGACCTACGTTTAAACGCTAAAGCTACCACTAAATAATAAGTTAAACTAATTAAATATATTATGTGACAGTATTTACAATTTGTAAAATTTTATTTAAGATTGGTTCAAATGATACTAAATTTTCTAAACAGACAACTAGACATAGAGTTTGTTGTGCTTGACTATATATGATAGAACCATTAGAAAATTGCAGACACTAACGTTCATAAATTTTTAAGTAGAGAAGTATATTCCATATTATATAGAAAGTCCATTCATTCATATTTATATTCTTTATGTTACCTAAAAAAAAGGACGGAAATACGATTTAGCAATGAAGAAACAAAACGATCTTCCAAAGATAGTTTCCATATCATACAAATCAATTATTCACCATTTAATTGTAAAAATTATTAAAATATTATTTTATGTCAAAAATACCATTCAAATTATAAAATAAATATATCTTTTATTTTGTATAGTTATTTGGTATAGAAACTGCCATTTACTCGCATTTCAATTATCTTCCAAAAGTCAAGAACATGATTTGTCTATTAATACAAAGATATTCGAACAAAAATACAGGGAAATAAATAAGCAGATTATTTCTTCCAATTAAAATTATTACAGTATTTTCAAGCAGATGATTTGAAAAAAAAACGTATTAAAATCTCATTAGAAAATAATAAATACTTGATATTTTAGGAAAATTATATGTATCATAACAATTCTTAATAACATAGGATATAACAATTGAATGTCTTAACAAATGTATTAAGATTTGTAAAATATTATTATTAAAAGTAATAATATATTATTAGAGACCCGTGAAACCTTATTAAACACAAACTCAAAAATGAGTTAACTCAAAAATACTCTTATACATGTTCCATTTCTTCATCGACGTTTCTCCAAGGTGTCGTTGTTGTTGCAGACCATTGTTATTAATCCGATTTATGTTCATCTGCATTTTTTTCCAACTCTCTTTCATACAACTCCGAATGGTATCTTATACCATTTAAATGTTTATATCGTTTGTTGCACCCTGGAATGGGACAAGGAAATGGCTTCAATTGCGAGTGATCTGCCCTTAGAACCGAGTTTTGGACAATTTCATCCGGAGTCAAATTACTCAAGGCAATATGTGTACTTTCGTTAAATATTGGAGGAGGTGATGTAGAGGTTGGTTGTGTTGGAACATCATTTGTCTTTGCCATGGATGGCTCAACATTACGGTTAATAGATGAGATTCTCTTCTTTGAGTATGAGATTTTAGAACTATTACTTTTTCGCTTTACCGCCGATGATGATGATGGCATGTCATCGTTCTCAAATGATCCAGCATCTTGATTACCAACTATTTCCATTAAATGCATCTTGGGAATAAAACCGCGCTTTGCTTGTGCAACGACCGACTGAAACGGTGGTGGACAATTATTGCTGTTTGTCGAAACCGTTGGTACCTGAAATGGTGTATTTGCGTTACTATTAACAGTAGCAGTTGCTAACACGGACTGCGATGATGGACCAGCACCATCATATCCATTTGCATTCAACAACTGAATTGGAGGCTCACAATTATTGCAGTTTACTGGAGCCACGGATGGGTGGAGACGTGGTCCGTTGTTGATGCGATGATCCGGAGGACCTATTGCTTAAATCAGAGAAAAATGCAAATTTTGAGGTAGATTAAATTCGAAAAGCAATACACTTACGCATTATCACATCATGGACACGCTCTACATGCTGAATCCATTCAGCCAGACTACCAAACTTTTCACCACAACCGCTGTATTGACATTTGTTGTTAACAAGGAAAGCCATTGTTTCTGTATATAAGATCTGATACGTTTGTCTATTAATATTAAATAAATTGGTATATATTCGCGTTTGGTTGAAGCTGTGGATTTTTTTAGCTTCGCTTGATCGAAACAATAAGATGAAATGATAGAATTGTCAAAATGAAGACGAAGGAACGATTTATATTGGAACATTGAGAGTTGCTATGGCGACAACGTTAACTGTACCTTAAGAAATGCAGTACACCAAAAAGGAATGCTTCAATCGTTAAAATTACGACGAAGGAACGGTACAGAGAATTGAGACTTACAGAGTTGCCATAAAGAAGAGTTTTCTAATTAAAATTTTTATTAATGAATTGAGACCGTTTAACACTTTATTAGTTTTTATCGTCTGGTGTTTGTCACCGCCTTAGATCTGTGCGCAATACACTTTCACAGCAAAATCCGGTGTGTTTACATATATTCTCAGTTGCAGATTAGTCTATAGTGTCCATTTAAATAGATTGAATAGACAATGAAAATAATCGGAAGAATTTTCATTCTATTTACCTACACAATAGGGATATAGTGAATTATATATTAAGTTATTATTTATTATTTATTTATTATTTTTAAATTCCGCACAAAATAATATACATAAATATATTATATTAATTAATTATTTTATATTCAAAGACATTATTGGGGAATAAGTTAGTAATAATATTTATGTTGATAACACTATAATATTATCAACAATAACAACTTTAATAGGTTATTATTTACATAATTGTAATAGGCACAATAAGAAACTACAGTTTTTATATTTAATTTTAATTTTCAATAATTTTTAAAGCAATAAACTCTTCATATACGTAATTAAACACTTCAAGTCCTGGAGTCGGATAATGCAGTTACAGTTATTATCCACGTTAGCAACGTTACCATCCCGATTAGTTTTAAGCCTGTCGTCGATGGTGCCATATGGCTTTTCAGTTAATTGAGAGTATTTTGTCAAACGCACAAATATTTACCGAGGTACCAAAATACCGAGTAATCGGGTTCAATCCATAACACCGATTCTGCATATTTCCATTAACGATTAACGATTATTAACGATAGATGTATAGTTCAGGCATATGAAAGCCGACAGTATACTATATATAAATTTATTCATTACCTTGCCTTTAACTAAATTTGCTTGCGATTATATTATTTAATTTTAATTTTTAAAACTTTAATTCATTTTATTTAAATTTATTTCTTTTCATTTTATAGTAATTTTTTATTATTTGTAATGATTCGACTGAATCTGTAAAGAAAGTCTGAGATTACACGACTTTAGCCAATTTCTCCAAGGGATTATGATTGGTGTGAGAGTAGTCCCAAGGTCTACAACCATTTTTTTTTTTCAACTAAGCAGTTGAATGTTACAGTACCCAAACAAACCACAACTAAGGATAGAATACTGAAAAGATATTAGACACCGTTCACAGGATTAATATTTAAAACTCCAAAAGTTTGGAGATGAGAAATAAACAAGTATATCTAGTAAAGAGAAGGTAAGGTATTATTAATGACATACCTAAAAGTCGGGATAGCACTGATTTGAATTCTGTGATGGAATCAATAGATTAAATATTGCTCCTTTTTAAGATAAAAGACAAAGAATTTATTAAGAAAGAAATATCTCATAATGTGTAGCAAGGTACAAGGTAGTGGTTTAAAGTGATAACATCGCCTCCAGGCGTGTATCATGCCATGAGATGATGAAACTCCTAGCCAGGCGTAATAACTTATCATTAACGCGAGTTACTTTAAAAGAGTAACAAATGAAAGAATTTAGAATAATGTACGAGGTCAGCACATGTAAATAATTCAATCAATTCCATGTGATGAGAGCTAATTCCATAGTGTCTAATTGCCATTACACTAAAATTCTTAAATAGAATAATTGTGCTAAGTGAATTTCTGAAATCAATATTTTTGAATGTGGCATTCCAAATTGCATATTTGATATGTGGGACAAAGCTTTGTTTGTGAGTAAAGACCACTTTAAAATATTCTAGTAGTGCAAAAAGCACTGGGAATTGCCTTTAAATTTAGTGTTTTTAGTATAAAGATAATTTATAATACACTTGCGTAGCTTTATCAAGCTATATTCTAGCACTTATTTTTATAACATTTTTTTTTTATTTTTATTTGATACGTATATGTATATAAGTAAGTTTTCACATAATTTTATGGTGATATAATTGGATATGATATTAATATATAAATTAAAGCACCATGGCGTATTTAACTGATAAGCTACATTAGCTACAGAAAAGCTAGTTAAATTATATTTATATTATTTTTATAAAACTTTTAGACCTAACTGTAAATTTTCTTGTGCGTCTATTCGTTTATGTTACGTCTACTGACGTTTATGCTAAGCAAGTTTTGGTGGTGTTACCTAGCACTTTTTGTACTATTTTGTAGACTTTTTTGTGTGCTTTTTTTGTACTTTGTATTGTTATTGTAAAATATTGTGAATAGCTTAGTACAAGAATGTGTCATGAAGTAACAGTCATATGCTTTAAAGAACATATCGGAATTGAACAAAACGAAAAGGTAGATGAACTTGCAAAGCCATGAATTCTGCGGCCCAGAGCCTACAATACCATTGGACTACAATATGACTGCAGCCTATATCAATAAATGAATAACTTCACTTCATCTTAGAGAGATGAGCATTTGTAGACAAACTAAACTAATGTTGTTGAAATCATTGGCTAGGAAAGCGATAAAAGTACTTAGCTATTCCCGGAGCATTCTAAGTTGGCTGACCTCATTGTTTACTGTACATTGAAACTTTAAGTATCACCTCAAAAAAATAACTCTTGTTGAGAAAGACACTCACAGACTATGTGTAGAAGAAAAGGAGACACCGATGCAAATATTGTGCCAATGTCTAACACTAGAATGCAGAAGAATGACTGTCTTCGGACACCATTGGGTTGATGTTGACTTGGCAGCCAACCTCAAGCTTAATGAACTGCTTGCAATAACAAGAGATTTAGTTACACGAACGGAAGCCACTTTAGCTTTAACTCAGTACCGACAGCCGAGAATCGAATTACGAAAAAGGACTCTAGTTGTTTTATGGTTTATATCGGGTAATCTTTCAATTCAGTGTGGCCACTTGTTGGACAATGCACTGTCCCATATACTTTTGATATTAATTTATTCACTCTTTATACTTTTGCTTGTTTTTGATATTCTTTTTGCGAAAATAGTGATTTGTTAGTTTTTGCTACTCATTCTGTCTAGTTTCAGTGCTGTCAGCTTGCACTTTTGTCAATTTTTGGTGCTGTTTTGAATACTTTTTGGTGCAGTTAGCTAGCACTATTGTTTTTTGTTGGTGCAAATTGTTCTTGTATGTCTTTTGTGGTTCTATAAGGTAGTACTTCATTTGCATAAAATTTTCTTTGAACTATTAAACAATTTAATTTCCCTCTTTGGGTAAATAATTGTAACTTGTAAGCCATCACAGTGCATATATTTACCTGAGAACTAAAGGCAAAAAAAAAAATATTTTTAAAAGGCACATTAAGCTTAAAATGCTTCTTTTGTAAGCTTATTAATATAATGTGTGTAAAGTCGCCTACGTGAAATTCAATTACTGAAAGCGACTGAAATACTGTGGCTCTTTGGGGAAAGGAAACGCAAAAACTTTTTTAATGCATCAACTTCCTTTGTAAATCAATGTTTACCACCGCCGTATTTATTTGCAATCGAAATTATGTATACAACATTTTTTTTGATTTTTTTTTTGCTAGTGGAAAAAAGAAGAAAGTATGTAAAACTTTTTTCAACACTTTTTTTATTCGCAAACTATAGTATAAGAGAAACAGTGCCAGGACGACAGCAGGCCACTGTGACACTGCAGTACGTCACTCAACGCCTTTGTTGTGCAATGTACGTGAAGCAGAAAACAGAACACTGAACACATAACACAGGACACGGAACACAGGACACATAACACAGGACACATAACACAGGACACAGGACACAGGACAATGCGATGCGTGGAAACTCAGGAAGAAAAAAGTTGAAATAAAGCATAAAAATCTATTCGGTGTAGACGTACACACTGACACTGGCACCAACATCAAAATGGCGGCAAAAATGGCAGTTACGTTAAGGTTCAGTTGTCCTTATTTGGTGGCTTCATCTGTGAATAAATAAAATGCCTAGGGAAACACAAAAATTATTAAATAAATATGTCAGCACTTCTTTTGTTTGTGTGAATGTGCGAGCATATGAAATGTTAGAAATTCGTTTTATCTCTTATGAAGAAAGAAAATCTTTTAAGGAGTTGGATAAAAGTTCCATGTGCTAGCAGTCATAGTTAGTTGCTTTCAATAATTTCAGAAATTATTGCGAAAATTAATTATAATCGAACACAAGAAAGTCCTAGGATTCAATAAAAGTTAGGGAATGTTATGAATTTGAATTAATACTAATTCTGCTAACTAATTAATTCGATTATCTTAAGTACTTCAGCTACTTTTTGGCTTACAAATTAATAAAATAATGAAATTAACTAATCTCTTAGTAACGTAAATTAGTTAATTTTCTTTTTAAATAAAAGATTTATTGTTTTTTAAATTTTTATAAAATATTTGAAAATTTTGAGGGTTTTCGAATAGCAAAGAAAGAAAGGAAGGACAAACACAAAAATTTATTTAATTTTATTGAAATTTGGCTGACCATACAACGCTGTTTCGAATATTGCCCAGTACTCATCATCAGTGGTCTTAGAAAATATTCGAATTTTTAATTAGTTTATAGTTCGTATACAATTTGTTTGGACTGCAAGTGCCAGGCTTAGAACTTGTGCCAGGCTTAGAACTTGTGCCTGTCAAATTAGAAGGCACAAGTCGTGTTTATCCACAAGTACCCAAGGCTGCACAAACTTTCAATGCTCTAGTTCCAGGTTTTTTGGAACTTTTTTTTGGTTTTATTTTAAAATTTCAGTAAATGAAAGAATATTATTATCTTCATTATTAAAAGATTTCTGTTAATTTTTAACTAAAAAACTTTGAAGTTGGTTTTCTACTTTTATTTAATGTACTAATTAACTATAGAAAGGTTTCGAACAGTAGTAAGTTGCAACAACAAAAATTATTTTTGCATTATTTTAATTAATTGAATTCTTGGCCATATGATTGTGTCGAATATTGTCAAATTTATTATTCATCAGTGATCTTGAAATTATTTCTTAATAAAAACTTTCACAGCAAATTAATAAAATTCCAAAAAAATGTGCGCACATAATTTAACATAATAGTTAAGTACGAATTTTGGTCAGTTGGTTAAGGAGCGCTGACTCTAAGCTTCAAATTTGGCAGGGCACAAGTTCGATTTCTGGCACTTGTAGTCTCAGAATATTATTTACGAATAATTAAATACAAGAATTATTTTCAAGACCACTGATGATGAGTATTTGGCAATTTTCGAAACAGCTGTATAGTCAGCCAAAAATTCAATTAATTAAAAAAATTAAATTTTGTTGTTGCATTTCACTACTGTTAGAAACTTCTCTATTAAATAAAATGTAGTAATTTCTATTAAGTAAAATAGTCACTGTCATTATAAGTGATGTTAAAACCAAATTATTTTCTACATCAGGGCTGTCTAGACCAGATAAGATCGTGAGCCCGTACAAATCATTGAATAAATTGGAGTTCCGCAGAAATCCATGTATACGTTCATAAATTTTCACTTATTCCCTTATATTCTGCAAAAAAATATTTAGTCCCAAATGACAGTGTGGTTTAAATTAATGTCAGATGAAGTGTCTAATTATTGTTTTTCAAATAACTGCCGCTTTAAACACTAATTTCATTTCAGCATCAACAGTCTACCTCTACACTTTCTTCATCTGACAATAGATTCTTTATAATCTTATGATCATAGATCTTCAATATTTTACTGTTAAACAAAAGTAGAGGAACAGTATTGTATCTAAATAAATAAGTATGATTGATCGATATCTATATTTCACAGAAATTGCAAGAGCTGGCATCTTAAGTCACATCAATTAAGATCTGGTGCCCGACAAAATATCCATTGGATACTAGTAGAGATCTACTGCTATGGTTGGATTTATGAACCCAGTCTTTATCAATAATTAATTTTATTTATAAAAAGCATAAGATACTTTTATCTTCAATACTTTTATTTTTAATTTGATTTTGTATCTGAATTGGGAACTGGTTAATCTGATTCGAAACCAAATATTTATTTCGCGGGTGACTTATAGTTTAAATAAACACTTTTTTAAAATTATCGTTTAGATTTTTTTTTTTAATGAGAAGTCAACTCCAATATGCTATTGAATCGAAATAATAGTATATACATTCAGTTTAACATGAACAGTTTCATTTCCTGATAGAGTTTTCATCCTTTGTGATGACAGTGAATATTCTTTCAACACTAACTGTTACATAGAGATAATCGCTCCCCTACTTAATATTGTAGTGTACAATTGAATTTTATAATATTAAATATATGAGAGACTAAAAAATATTTTTCATTAATCTTTGTTATTTTATTTTAATAAAATATATTAAATATTAAAATATATATTAACATTAATTATTGTCATTCTATTACAGAGTACGAAACTGGGCGCTAAAGTTCGGTGTTGATCTATGGGAGTTTGGAAGACAATTTACAAAAATGAATGAAATTAAAAGCGTAAGTACACGTAGCGGTATTAAATCTTTTTAAAATATCTCTTAAAACTCATATTGATTTTTAATTTATTATTTCTGAATCCATAGGTGCCTATACGAACTTCTTTAAAACGTGGTAACGCTTCCCGTATACACCTAATTTAGCATCACATATGACTAATACTTTTTAGAGACAAAAAAAATAATTCTTTTGAAAAACAAATGCTTCATAGCCGCATTGACCATCTAAAAGGTCTCAAATATTTCACTATAGTATGCATTAAAAAGCCCAAATTAGTGCTTTGTTTTACTAAAAGATCTACAATATATATAATTTTTATAACAAAATAATGTTTCGATCACAGATGTAAAATGGGTCTTTGCGCCTGGTTCTTTCACCGAAGATGCAAACGTCCTCTACCGCGTTTTTTACCTGCGGATACCGAATCAAATACCTTTCTAGCCGGAGCACTTTCTTCCATTTGCACGACATGACCAAGCCAGCGAAACTGCTGAATTTTGATGCGCTTTACTATGTCAATGTTGCGGTATAGCTCATACTACTCATCGTATCATCTAATTCGTTACGCGTCGATAACATGTAAGGGACCATAGATCTTCCAAAGAATTTTTCTCTCGAATGCCCTTAACGTATTCTCATCACTGTTGGTGACTGTTTAAGCTTCTACACCATAGGGCAGGACAAGCATGATAACAGACTGGTAGAACGTGGTTTTTGTTTGTCAAGAGAAGACTCTATTTCTCAATTGCCTACTTAGTCTGAAGTAATATCTGTTGGCATGAGTGATTTTTTATTGAAACTTTAGTCTGTCGTAAGATTTAGTAATTACGCTGGTTCTCAAATAAATAAAGTCTTTTACAACTTCGAACTTATTATTGTCAATAGTGACGTGGGTCTCGAGACGTGCAGGAGATTTGTTTGTTGATAGACAGTACTTTGTTTTGTCCTCATTTACCACAAGACCCATTTGTTTAACTGCAGATCAATAACATCAACATTTCACTTTTCTAAAATATTATACCAGTGCGGTTTAAATCTGCTGCTCGAATTATCGTTTCCAACATTAGGTTAAAGTAATCACACGATAAGAAGTCACTCTGTTTGAAACCTTCTGTGATATCAAACGACTCGGAATGGTTCCTTCCGATTCTAATGGAACTGATGGTTTTGCTCAACGTAATTATCCTCTCGTCCAGCCAGTATATGGTAGGTGCTGGGTAAATTAATATACAATTAGCTGTAATGAGTCGAAATATGGACGTAATGTTGCCAGCAGTTTACAAACTTTAATAGTTAAAATTTGGTTGCAAATCAATTAGGCCACCACTGTTAAAACTATTTACCGCATTTTATTTAATAAAAGATAGAAGTGTTAAGAAAACTATTTATATTAATTAAAATCGATCATTTATAAGATTTTAAAACTGCAATGATATTTTTTTTATTTTTTAATCTAAAATTTTCAAATACAAACAGTGAATGTCACAGGTCATTCCGTTTATATTGCAAAAAGGAAAAAAAAAAATATTAAACCTTTTAATGTTAATTTACGCTTTACGCTGTTAAATAATTAAAATTTAATTATACATGTTTACGTTGCATTACATTACATTACGTTACGTTCCGTTACGTTACATTACGCCATTCACTTTAATTTAAAAAGTATTTAATTGATATTTAATTAAATCAGCAAAAAATGAAATAAACTCAATAAAGTGTTTGCGTTAGCCTTTTTTGTTGTTGTTATGAGTGCGACTGCTACAACTGAGGTTGTTTTTGTTTTTGTTGCTGTTGTTGTTGTTGTTAATTTTCATATCGATAAACTGATTATGTCGCTGATGTTTTATTGTTAACATTACCAAATACAAACACTTATTGTACGTGAAGAGTGGCTTACACACACACATGCACATACGTATGCATAGTAACGTTCATACATAAATTAAATAAATAAGCTGTGGTAAACGTATACTCATGCAAGTACACATATGCATGCATGCTTGTACATATGATATGAACGAACACATTTTTTATTTACGTGTACAAACAAACGTAATACAATTATGTTGCATACACGCGTACGCTCACAATTCATACGTGAATGCTGTGTAATGTCGTTGTTGATGGCATTAATGATGGCGTAGTCCTGTTAAAGCGGAAATGTGCAACTAGATATGGTGGAGATGTTGACTGTGGTGGAGTTTGTGTTTGCCTTAACTTACCTTTGTATGTGTATTTTCGCAATCTGATATAAATGCTGATATATGTCTATGTGTAAAGGTTGGTAGGTTGGTAGGTTGGTTGGTTGGTTGGTTGGTTGGTATGTGCATAAATTTAAAATGTTGTTGATATATTCTCTTCTGAATATTGTTTATTTACACTCGTAACAACAACAAAAATATTAACAACTTAACATGCCAAACATACCAAAAAAGCAGCTTAATAATTTTAACAAAAAAAATATTGTTAGTAATATACGAGTACAGCTTAAGGTGGGTGCATGGCATGAGGTGCCATGAACAAAGGTGAGGTGAGGTGAGGGTTAATATATCACATGACTAAGAATTGCGTTTTTCGTTTCACAAGTGTTGTTGTTATTATTGTTTTTTGTTGTTTTTGTTGTTGTCAAATATTAAACACTTGAACGTATATATCATTTTTTACTTTTTATGTTTATTAATGTTTTAAAAAGCTTATCAATTTTTGCACACAATTTGTGAATTTTAACATATCTGTCTGTGTATGTAATTGTGATTAGCGTAGACACTGTTATTTTCCTTTATATACACACACATGTATACATATATACAATTTTTTTTTCAAAATGTCACACTTAGTAAACAATTTGGGATAAGAAATTGGAATTAAAATCTAAATTGTTTCAATGGAAACGAGAGTAGAGGGTTAAGGTTTTAACGTAATTAAGAAAAAAATAAGAAAATAAATTACTCATAGTTTGGGTCCTACAGAAGCTTAGACATTTTACTTACTTTTTTTGCAGTGTACACATTATGTCAATTTATTTTTTATTTATTTTTCATTATTATTACTTTTTTTTTTTGAGTGTAGGCATTATTTTAAAATATAGTTTTTTTAACATTATTACACCGCGAAAAAAAAATGGTATCGGTGTTTACATATGGATTCCAAACTTGGATTTTTTTATAAAATATACTGCCTTGTCCTAGTCCCTTTCCGGGGAGAAAATTTAAAATGTATAATTGCTAGTCTTATACGTGAGAAAGATGATTCCAGAGTTGAAGAAAGATCTGAACTAAAATTCTGAGAACAGCACAATTCTATTGATATACGCTGGTAAAAAACGAAATAGAAGACGATTCTTCGGTGGAAGGATCAAGTGACCAACGAAATGAAGGCACACGATATTTCTAATTGGCAAGTAACTGATCTGGTTGGCTGACAGTGGCTACTACTCTTACTGACAACTTAATAAGTAAGTAAGATTGCCAAGAGTAATTATTGATGATATATTTATCCATTCATTCCGTTTGCAAACTGATGTCAACAAATTAGTCACCTTGAAACACATAGTAGTAGCAGCGCAGCTCTTATCTAAAACACTATCGTCTATTGTATAAAATCCGTCAAGCACAATCAGTTTTTCAGGTTTTTTCCGCACATAGAGGTATATAGATCGCATAACGCTGTTTTTTAAAATACTAATATTAAATTAGTATTTTTTAAAACAATATGTAACCTAACCTAATTTAAATAATTGCGCCAATTTGCTATTTTTGGAAGTTTGAACAATTTAAAGGGCGATGAAGCGATCCTGTCATTTAAATATATCCCTAAATTTATAAAAGTGATTATAATAATTTCACTTTGACAAAAAGCAAATCTCAAACCCTCCTTATTTTTATCGATTATGCAAATATGGAGTTCACAAGTGATAATAATTTGAGACAACTTGTCATCTATTAATGCTCTTAAAACGTGTCACTAAATTTGCAGGAGCAGAATCATGTTACTATGTTACACGTTAGTATTTGCAGCGTCTCCAGAATCATTCTGCCTCATATATAGGACGAACACGTTTCTCATACAACACTATTTTCTTCAAAGCAGCCAATTAATCAGAGTGCTTTTTGCTTTGATTTCATACGTAAGCATTAGTTGGACCATGGAACTGTACTTAGTACATGGAAGACAAGAGAAAAGTTTTTGGATTTGGGGAATTTCAAATAAGACTTTTTGAGCTTCAGCAGCCACTCGTGTGTTTGTTTATTTATATTATTATGAGCAAATTATCTAAGATAAATAAATGATTTGAACTCGTGATGTACTTAAAGTAAACAAAGTCAATATACACTTTGTCTTGCCTTCATTAATAAATAGCTTTATTCCTTGTTTACACTTGATTGTTATATAACTTACTTGATTAGTTATATAACTAATCTTCCGATGACATCGATATCTATATAACTGCCAATATTTGGTTTGATTCGATCGGACAAGTCTGTCTTGTCAAAGTACCAGAGTCACAAATTACTTCTTAGAAGAAAAGGAAAATTAATCCCTTATAGAAGTCCTTAAAAGCTGTTTATTGATTTGGATAACAATCTTTAACTTCTGATGACTTTAGTGTCTGTGTATAAAATCAATATTTGTTTGTATTTATTTAGTCAGAAGTTCAACCTATTGTAAGTGTAATGCTTCCTTTCATTTTCAATTTTATTCATGATAAGTTCAGACATTTCTCTTATAGACTTTGGTTCTTAATGCAATCCTTGTTTTTATTTTTTCTTTTTTTTTGGTGAATTGTTAGTTTTTTTTTCCAAACTTCATAAAATATGGAAAGTACATTCACCTTTTCGTTGCCTTTGACTGTAATAGGTGCTAGAATTAACAGTAGATTGTTTTTGCCTAATATATTCAGCTTTTTTAAACATTCCATTACTCGTTCTGATTACTTCATGAGATTTGAGTACTTTGGCTCCCAGGCTAGTTTGTCATAATGGCTATTTTTTGATAGATAT